GCAGACAAATGTGCTACAAAGGAAAAATGGAGAACAATACGCATATAAAATGTAAACTCACAAATATAGAGCCACAGGGTCACCTGGCTCTAGTGATATACGCCTTGGGATCTTTAAAGGGGATCCACTGCCCTCTTCTTGTATCCTCCTGGTGTCTTTAACTTCCAAATGAAAGATAAGAATGCAAATAGGTCAGTTTCCAAAGGATCAGGAAGAAATTTATTGGACAAAAATAAACTCAAATAAATCTTAACAAATAAAAACAAAGATTCAAATGAATCAAAATAAAATATAAAATAGTCATGTAAACCAAAACGCGTTTCGCCAGGAGCTGGCTTCCTCAGTTGGTGTAATTTTTCAAATGACACTCTTCCTGCTTTTATAGGAGGTGAATTACTTGATTGTTGGCATCTGTGTTGTCAGATGTGGTATTTCACGGGACGTACGTTTCATTAGCGCGTCCATGCCGGCATCCGTAAACCCGGAAGTTCTATTCATGGGACGCACACGTGATCGGCCTGTGAGACGCACACGTGACCGGATAACCGCTGTAATTTTCTGTTTGTCCTCCTATTCGTTCTTCGTGGAACGCAATCATTGCGTTCCATCCAGTTCATTTACATAGATGTTCATAAAGCGTCTTTATATCTAATAAGTCCAAAACTCGCAAATTAAATTCATTTAAAAACGAGTAGAGGGAGAGAGACAAAAGGAAGTATCAAAACAGGGATTATATAAGCGATTTACTATTAATTAAAAAATAAAAAACTATAAACACTAAAATGACCTATAAAATTAGTAATCACAGTTGATTTTATATTTTTTTTTTAGTTTTAGTTTTTTTGGCGAAACGCGTTTTGGTTTACATGACTATTTTATATTTTATTTTGATTCATTTGAATCTTTGTTTTTATTTGTTAAGATTTATTTGAGTTTATTTTTGTCCAATAAATTTCTTCCTGATCCTTTGGAAACTGACCTATTTGCATTCTTATCTTTCATTTGGAAGTTAAAGACACCAGGAGGATACAAGAAGAGGGCAGTGGATCCCCTTTAAAGATCCCAAGGCGTATATCACTAGAGCCAGGTGACCCTGTGGCTCTATATTTGTGAGTTTACATTTTATATGCGTATTGTTCTCCATTTTTCCTTTGTAGCACATTTGTCTGCACTATGATTTGGTTGTCTGTTATTTGCAGGCTATAACATACATCATATCTACAATTGTACAGGTATCTTAGTGCTCCACTTATTTTTGTATTTTTAAGGGGTGGTCATTGTTCGATAGTTTTATCTACCGAACGAGAAAAATCCAAGTTAACAACAAAACAGGGTAGTTTCTTCACCCTTGCAATCTATGAGGTTTTTTTGAGGTAGGCAAATATATATCTTAGGTCACTTATTGGTGAGGTGGTCTGACTAAGATGTGAATCAAGGTATCCCAGTTTTAAGGCAGTGTTGTTACCACTGCTCTAGCCAAATTGGAGCAGTTGTAAGCACTCCAATGATATGAAGAAGACACCTCTAGTGCCACAATATGGTCACTGTCTTGTAAGTGCAACTTAATCGATTATAAATAAAATATTACACAGAATATTTTTAAAAGTATTACACTAGTTTTCTATTATAAGTTTTGTTCAGACATATTACAGCACAATTTTTGTATATCCAAAAAATATATTTGAAGCAGCACTGTAAAGATGTATTAGCACTTCTCAATTCAAAATAACATTCCAAACAAATTAATAGTTATTTTTATCTAACCCAATTATAATTACAAGTGAAAAAACACTTTTTATATTGTTGAAGCACTTAGGAACTCACATCACATTCTCAAACTTTCACAGAATTTCCGAAAAAAAAGACTGATAAAGAATGTACAACCAACAGCCAATCAGAACCTTGGGTTTCCTCAGTTGATCCACTTTATGCCCCATTTGGTGGAACAATATACCACATACGTGCTACTACCTCCTACTTAACTTCCCCAAACTCTGCCTTCTCCAAGAGTCTGAATAAAGAACTAATAATAATTAATACCCTTGTTACAGATGTAATCAATTCTTGATGTTACATGAATATCTTTACTGATGATGCAATATGCCTTGGTTTGGGTTTGAGTAACAATTGTTAATTAGTTTTCTTAATTAGTACTCTCAACAAAGTATCCCACTTGTTTCAATTGAGTTGCTGGTTCATTAGAGGGACACTGTAGGCACCCAGACCACTTCAGCTCATTGAAGTGGTATGGGTGCTGTATCCCTTTTGCACCTATTGCTGCGATGTAAAACATTGCCGGTCCAGAGAACGGCAATGTTTACATTGCAGCACTAAGACTGCCCTCAGTGGCTGTCTGCCAGACAGCCACTTGGTATGCTTCCCAGAATCGTAACAGACTTTTGATCCGTTATCTGACACTGGGTGTCCTCACACTCTGCAGCATCAGATTTTCCCCATAGGAAAGCATTGATTCACTGTGGAGGTCTTATGCGCCGCGCATTAGACCATGCTTGTTGCGGGATGGAGGAGGGGCGGGGCTTCGACCCAGCACCAAGGGACTTCAGCACTGGGATAAGTTGAATAAATAAAGGGGTTTTAACCCTTTATTTAGCGGGGAGGGAAGTCGCGAGGGAGTGGAGAGGCAGAGGAATCGCTAGTGCCAGGAATACAGTTTTGTATTCCTGGCCCTACAGTATCCCTTTAATATAACATTATTAAATTCAAATGATCAAAAACGTATAGGCAATTATTAAAGTGTTATGTAATGGTGAAAAGAATATGTCTGATGACAAAGTTGAAATGCAGAAATTGTTGGATCTACCCATTTATGATTTATATTAATAGTTTATTAACAAGTCTTATTGTCACTGGAGGTCGCCCCTTCAAACCCATTTAGCTTAGCATCTCATCTGTTGGACTCTTCGTCACTAATTGGATGCTATTTTATTTTATCTCTATTGACAGCTGACTTGTATGTACTCTCCTGTATCCCATCTGCTTCATGATCAAAACAAAATACAAAGATGCTAGCTAAAAATCCCAGGGGACTGGAAAAACATACTGAAATTGTTGCCAAAATGTCATCATGCCAGAACATCACATGATTAGTTTGCAGATGCATTTTTTTCCTCTACATCGCTGTAGTGTATTGGATGATGTTTGTATTGAAGTATGTATTACATAAGAGGATACATGCAGATTCTGAATGTTAATTTTAGTTGATGAAAATGAAAAGAAATGGGCAAATGAGGACAATTATTTCTGCAATATAAATGTAAGATATTGAAAGAATGCTGGGTAAAACAATTCTTTAATAATATTTCTTGTTATCAGCTTTTAAAAGTGAAACCTTACACTCTATTTTTAATTCATAAGTCAGGAATTCTGGATATAGTAATCTAAAATTGTAAATTCCCTCCACATATTTCTAAATTCAGATTAGTAAATAAGCTCCAATGAAAAAACGTTACTAATTAGAAATAATTACATGAAGTCAGATATATAAAGGGAAACTCCATGTTTCAAATGCATATTCTTTTTAATGTAAATGTGCAATTGTTACAAAATTATGTATTTACTAAAATTTACATATATATTTTCCAAGTCCTAAAACTTCAGTTTTCATTTTCTACAGAAATTACCTCTAGCTAGAGAAGACACATCCCCTTTGTGCCTAGTATTTGCTTCCTAGTAATTTCTGGATATTTCCCAATCATATGATTCTCATAAATCATACACATGGGTGGGTTTTTTGAGATTCATGGATACATATCAAGAATCATACTTTATCAAGAATCATACTTTAGATGTGGGCACATTGGGATAATTATATGGACTCAGCTTAACACAATTACATTATCTTGCTTCATTGGCATTTTCTCAAATTTTCTCCCCCTTTCATTTCTATTTTAATTTACTATAATCTTTTATATGCAGGTGGAACGGATTTTTTTTTTTTTTATAAACCCACAATTATCAGTTTATTAAAACATGGTGTGATTGTTTTAGAAATTCCTGCAGCATCCACCTTAGATATGCCCATGGCGAGGGTTCTACATAAATTGTGGAATGGCCATATAGGGTACAGATTCCATTTAATTCATCAGAATCTTATGCTCGAGGCACATGAAGTTCATAATCCAGCAATACTTGCAATTATCAATCCCGTGATGAGCAGAAGTTTGGTGAACTATGTTGTGCTGAAAAGTCCTGTGCTGAATAGATCCATAATAAATGTTTCAGTGATAAACACTCACAGGATGCACCATGAGCAATATAAGCAGTCCTTGTTAAAAAAATGTTTTAAAAATTAAAAAAAGGTACGTACATTGGTTGACTTTTGCAGTGCCATTCTTATGACACATACACATGTGCGAAACTGCGAGAGAAACTGCTGAGTACACTCACGTTTGGCATTTCTCCATTAAATCCCATCTCTTAAAGCAGGGGTTTCCAACCCAGTCCTCAAGTACCCCCTCCTAGTCCAGAATTTAGGGATCACCCTGTTGTGTATAAAGTGTTTTTCTTTCTTTCTTTCTTTCTTTAAACACCTTAGACACAACTGAGTAATCCCAAAATCCTGGACTGTTAGGGGGTACTTTAGAACTGGGTTGGGAACCACTGTCCTAAAGTATTATGGGGAAATAATGTCAACATCACACTGAAGAGGAATTATGCTATTTTTATTATGCATTATTCTCTCCAGTATACTCTGCAATAGTGTTTACTGGTGTGAAGGAACATGGGACAGTTAAGCTTTAGAGATGTTTGTCTTTATTCTAGCTCCCAAAATTAGAATAGTTTAAAAACTGCAACTCAAATTACCAAGAATTCTATGTAACTTCTTCAACTCATATACTTTCCATTACAACAGCTATAATGGCCTAAAATACAATTCAATTGTCCACAATTTCAAGTTTATTGAAAAAACCTTAATGTTAATTTTTGTTTTGTTTAATTCTTTTTAATAATTTTTTTCATCAAAATATTAATAGACATAACAACACCTAGGGGAGGGAACCTTACAGAAAAAAAATAAGGATTCCTATCCCCATTAGACATACATAAATATAATGTTCTATTTCAAATTTCATCAATAAGCCGTCTAGAACACAATATGATAACAATAATATCCCATAGAATGGATATCGTGGTCCAAAAACGGCCTAAAAAAGCCTTATAAATAAAATAGACAAAAACAAAGACAAAACTGGTCATATGTATTGCAGATCCGATACCACACTTAGATAGAACAATATAAGGCCAAGGAGACCAGTAATAGAACCCATTATGAAAACATCAGACTAACCATAAGGAGGTCATATGAAGTATCTCACCACTTCAGACTCATTAAAGCCTATTAATTTTTTGGTTAAGACTAGAATAGAACGTCAGAGCATTAAAATTAGGATATTCTCTCATAGACAATAATCCCTTTTCCATCTCGACTTGGAATAGGAGTTGGGCTTTAACTTGATCTCTCGTAGGGATGTCAGTACTTTTCCAAAATCTAGCAATTAAAATTTTAGTATCCAATAAACAGTGTATAATCACAATATCAAGATTATCCTTTATTTCTGAGCCCAAAAGATGTAGAGCGATTTCCGGTTTGAATTCCAAATAAGTACCTCCAATTCTATTTATAAATTCATATGTAATCGTCCAAAGAGATTTGATTCGATGGCAGGACCACCATATATGAACCATAGAGCCATCTGGATGTAGACACCGCCAACAGTTAGACGGGTTAGTAATAGAAATTTTAGCGAGTCTAATCGGTACCAAGTACCATCTGTATAATATTTTAATAAAAGTCTCTAGGATATTCAAACAGTGAATAATTTTTTTAGTCCTTACAAAGGATTTACACCAACTATTAAATGGAATAGAAATTGCTAGATCAGTTTCCCATTTAGTTAAGGCTTTGGGGATGAGAGGGGTCCCTTTCGTTTTTATTAATTCAACTGCAATAGAGAAGATCCTTTTGACATAATACCCCGAAAATTTTTTCCTAAACAATATTCCAAAATGGCCTTCTAAAACCAATATATTATCTTTCAAATAGCTCTTAATACGAAGAAAGTTAAATAATTCTCTAGAGGGTAAATCTAACCAATTTTTCAGAACATCAAAGCTTTTCAATTGGTGGTCATTATAAAGATCTTTTATCTTATGATTAGAGTCTTTATACCAATTCGTCAAATTTATCTCTAGCATAAAACATTCTAACGACCTTAGACTCAGGTTCTCATATATTTTTCTGTTAATATTCAACTTCTTCTTTATAATAGTCCATTCTTTTAATGTCTGTGATAGAGACAAAGGACAATGAGAACCAATCTCACACAGATGCCTATTCTGGCTTGCCTCTCTCCATAAGAGGAATTCGAGGTTATCTAAACCAAGTCTGGCTGCTTCAATTTTATACCAGGCTTGGTCTGTAGAGTCGCTTAATTGTAATTTACTGGCATGAACTAGTATATTAGCCTGGTAGATTTGATTAACAAGGGGGTAACCCAACCCCCCCTGATGGGCCTTCCTTGATAGAATGTATGTACTAATTCTTGGTCTCTTCCCTCTCCAAACATACGCTGTGATGCTAGTTTGCAGCATATTCAGCCAATAGCTCGAAATCGAGAGAGGGAGCATACTAAATAAGTATGCCCATTTAGGTATTATATAAGCTTTAATAGTATTTATCCTTCCCCACCAGGAAATTTCATGCACTCTCCATTCTTTTAATAACATATTAGTCTCTTTTAACAGCTTCAAAAAATTAATTTCCATAGTCCGACTTATCTCTGCTGTTATAATGTTAAATTTTAATATACTTTTTTTTAAATTCTGCCTTCAAAATCAGTTTTTAAAACTCAACTACAAGAATTTGGATGGTTTCCATATTCTGTTTAGACAATGCATGTTTGAAATTGTTTGTGTGCAACTGCCTATCTAGTGTCTTTTACAGTAGTCACCTTTTAACATTTTTTTGCACACTCAAAGTTTATAGATTGTTTAAAATGTATCTCAGTAAGAAACTGAATTCCCACACTCCCCATTCTTCTAAAAAAAATTTCTCTGTAACTGTATTGATGTGGCTTACTGTTTGCTCGATAAATAGGCTCTGAGACATTGATAATATCACAAGGATTGTACTGGGAATTATGTTGGATTTATTTCCAAACTTTATCAGCAAATGTGGTAGTCATTAACCACATTTATGTCTAAAGGGACCAACAAACTCATTATTTTGCTTGTGACTGACATCCATGCATTAAGGGCCACGTTACCAGAAATATTCTACATACGTGAGAGAAACTGAATTGGAAGTACAAGTACATTTCCAAGTTTTTGGGGGAATTGTATGTTATATTAATAATATTTTATGAAATGTTCAACAGATATTGAAATGTAGATATTATTGATCTGTCGAACTGCAAAATGTGAATGTCCACATATAAAATTAATAAAATACAACCATTATCAATATGACTAACAAATATAATATAGACTCTTTAAATATATAATTTGTTTAGAACATAATTTCTACAAATAAATGTTTCAAATAAATGTTTCAACTGGTGACATCAGACTGAACATTCTACA